GAGAGAGACTGACTCAGAGGACGTGAAGTACAGCACAGGGAATACAGTCAATAGTATTGGAATAGCTATGTACAGTGTCAGAGGGGTAGCAGACTTGGTGGGGGGTCATCATTTTGTGAGGGGCGTAAATGTCTAATCATTATGTTATTCTATACATCTGAAACTAATAAAAAATATAGTACATGCTCAGAACATCTACAGAAAACATACTTGTTCTTTTCTGTTTAAGCATCTCAAATGCACTAACAATGGACATGCAGCTACTCTTCTGCTAAAGCTCTATTTATCTTTCTGTACTTTCTATCTAGACAGCGCCAGCAGTTTCTCCAAGCCCCTTTCCGACGTGAGGGCGTCTGCATGTGCATTCATATGTGTACAGAGTGCAGCCACTCTGGGAGGGCGGGTGGAGAGGGGCGGGCAGACCTCTAGCAGCGCAGGTGCGTATCACACATGCCAGTGGCTCCCCGGGGCTCTGTCTGTGGTGCACTGCTCAGTTTCAGAGACAGACTGCCTGCTAGTTCCTGGGAGTGTCAGGAAGAGTGGGAAGCTGGCTTCAGCCTACTCCCTTCAGCCTGTGCTCCTGCCTCTCCGTCCTTCCTACCCTCCTACGGTTAGATCCTGAAGCACCGGCAGGTGTGCGTTCTCTTCCCTTTTTTAACACTAACATCTGCCAAACCAAGAAGGACGCTCATATTCATATTGCTTTTCAACAACAGAACTTGAAAATAGATTCACAGTAACTACGCGAACTTAAAGTCCTTAAACTGGAGGTGTTAACATGGGAGAATGAAGAACTCTAGAACAAGGGATGAATAGTTATTTTGGCACAGCAGGGTTCCTCTGTGAAAGCAGAAACTGGGAACCCAGCAGCTGCACTTCTCTTTTATTCATTCACCCACAAAAAGAAAGCTAAGAAAGGAAGAAGCCAATGTTTAGTGTATTGACTGACCTAAAATCTATTGGCTAAGCCTAACGCTATGGGGGAGGGGACACCTGGACATTTCCAGGCGTTCATCTCTACATCCAGCATGACAGAAACAGTTTAGTCAAATACACCAGCAATCTTATTTTGGGGTACTGCAGAGACCATTAGCTGTCGGCCAACATCCACGCTCCCTTCCTGCTTAGGCTTGCGAACCTGCCGCTTTAAGTGGGCAAGACGACGTGCCCAGTCTCCCTCACACTGGGTGTGAACATGGAACGAAACTCGGGCTAAGGAAGGTAAGCAGTGTGGTTCCCAAGCTTGAGGAAGTACAGGGAGGAGGCACGCCCTTCCTGCCCTTCCCCATCTGAGAACAGGGCCATGTGGCCACAGCTGGAGCTCTGCCTTAGTCCAGGGGACAGGGGGACGGGCTGCCGGGGTAGAGTACAGCAGGAGGCAGGGGCTGGGCGTCCTGATAGCTGCGCTGCTGTACACCCTGTCTGGGATGGACTCCCTTGGTTTTTGTTTTACACACGTCTATGATTTTTTTTTTTTTTTTCTGAGCCATCCTGCCACCTGTTGGCAGCTCAGCGGCTGCTCAGCTCGGGCCGGGACTCAAACCGCTGTTGC